GAAGACAGTCTGAATGACACACCCCAGACTCTGTCTTCTCGACAGACCTGTTCTCCACCTGAGGACGGCTGCTTGCGTTGTGGCCGAAACGTCGTGAGAATTATTGTATTATGTTTTATTTTAATTATTTTATTATTTCCCTTCTACGTGACTTTACCGAAAGAACCAAGAAGACCTTTCGAGTGGCTTGCTTTTTATCTTCACACCATAATAGGCGCACTTTGCCAGCACTCTGCTATGATCAGTTTAACACGTAGGCTTTCGCGAGCGATATTGTTCATAATAAAGTTTTTGGGTTGGATCTCGTTATTTATTAATGTGTCGTAACCCTCCACTCTTCAACACACCGGTGGGCTAGAGTAGTGAACTATTTGTCTTTTGTCAACGTGACACTTTTTTACTGATTCGCCATGTCGGGCGGTGGAGGCTCACAACACATTTATAAATAACGCGATCTAACCCAAAAACCTTTATTATAACTCTGCTATGATGTTTGTGCTCGTTGTGTAGCAGCTTTTGTACTCTTTGGTTGTTGTAATGCTCTGACCCCGTGCCACCTACTGGACATCTGTCAAAAAAGAGCTTAATAGCTCATCGGATTCCTCCAGCATAAATAAATATTCTGGTTCTGAAACTGGTGCATTGTTTCGTCATCGACGATTCATAACTACCAGTGGACAGCCTAGTTAAGTGGAAAAAACCACACATTTTCTCCTACACCTTGAGCACTTTGGCTTAATGACAACCTGTCCAATAAAAGTGCATGGGGAATCTTTGTGAGTATACGGAGGGGGTCTCTGTGTAATTCTGTGAGTCTCCATGTCAGGTCTACGCTCCGCTACGTAAGTCTATGCGGGGATCTTTGTTGAAGTCATTGGTGATTGGGCTGAGTCGTCTTCTCACGGGACACTTGGGAGCCCGTTTTAATCGCCCGGTGGCTGTAAACCAGGATCCCAAAACGACACCTCGGAGTTTTGACACCTGAACGCCACCCGGCCACTTCGATCCGACTCTTTTTTCCATAAAAATCTAGTGAATGGAAGAACCTCAAGCGCGGCTGCACGGCTTGACCCCCATTGACACGCGACATGTACAAATAGGAGAAGGAAAAAAACTTGTTGATTCCGACAAGATAACCTGATGTCGTGCATCGTAACCTGAAGAATCTATACAGTATTAATAGATGCACAGTCCCTCCAAAAAAGTTAAAGTTTGCAAAAAATTTTCAAAGCCTGTAACTTCCCTAGATTCAGAGGTGTGGGGTAACCACGGACAAGTGACTACTCGTATTATTTTTTTGTGTCGTGAAGAAGGGTTATTGCCCGAAATGTCTCCTATTATATTGTTTTTGTTTTCCTTTTAAGGTCACAATGTAATTGATGAATTTGTTGATCATTTTGTTGCCGTTATTAAAAATGTGCATACATTATTTTAATACGTTCTTTATTGAGCATCATTCGCCAGATCAGCAGACTCGAGACTCGATTCATGTTCCCGTCATTTCCACCCGCGGAAGATTGCTCATGTGAAGCGTAACGCTGTACATTTCTCGGAAATGTAAATTTGTTGCAAAAACACAACATGTAAGCATGAATTAGAGATAACAAGTTTACAAATTGCAGAACGGTCGTAGGAAATTTAGTTGGGGAGAGGAAACACCGTTGTAGTAGCTGCTGTATTTTGGGGTAAAATCAATACGGTAAATACATGAATAAAATTTCCGCGGTTCCGTTCGCAAGTGTGAGGTCACGTCCTCAAGTCGGATGGTTAAAACCAACTATCTCGTGGAAGCTCGTTCGTAATTGCGGATATTCGTAAGTCGGGCGTTTTTAAGCCGGGGACTGCCTGTGTTTACGTATAATCCGTGCCTCCTAAACAGGAAAGAGGAATGGCGGTGGCATCGCAGGCAAAGGTCTGTCTGCCAGAAAGCGTCGGTGTCAAAAAGAGTAGCTTGCGGATGAATAAATAGTTGAGAGAGTGAGTCACGGCGGAGCGCTGGGAGCGCACTCTGACGTGCCGATGGTGGGGTCGACTCGATAACGCCGGCGCTCGTGGCTCTGCCACCCACAGCTTCTCTCCACTCCCACAGGGCTCGTACTGCAGCAGCACGCCAACACCTTTCTCCCGTGTCGATTCATCGCGAAAGCGAGCACGCTCGCTCAGCGCCCAGCATGATGCGTTTACAAAATAAATCAGCGTAAGGATTTATTTGTTGTTATAATCCCAGGCACCGCGAAGCCGAATGACGCAGCCAAAGATGGTGAAAGTTAATGGGCGTATCGACACGTTGAGTGATCGATTCCAAGTGATCTTTATGCTGTTTTAACGCGTAGACTTCCGCGACCATTATTACACGTGGTAAAGTGTTTTGGGTTAGATCACATAAATGCAAATGTGTCTAGATTTAATGCTTTCGTGACTGCAGGGATTCATCTTCTTGGTTCTTTCGGTAAAGTCACGTAGAAGGGAAATAATAAAAGAATAAAATGAAACATTGTATTTAACAAATTTTTTATTATTATTTTATTATTTCCCTTCTACGTGACTTTACCGAAAGAACCAAGAAGATGCAAATGTGTCGTATTGCTGGTTGTAATCACCAGCTAAACATCGGACTAAAAATTGTCAACGTGGGTTTGCTCACCAAGACACCGGGTGTGCCGAGGTAAGAATTAATTGACACGTTTTTTTCTTCTCGTGATAAGCCTTACAAATTGGCCGTGACGGGTGGAGGTGGGTGTATGACAGAGTTACGTGTGCACGGTCTAACCCAAAACACGACCACGTTCGCAAAATTCAACCTCGGCCGACTTTTCAGGGACACTTGAAGGCACCTCTTTAGCCTGGCATTAACACCCATCTTGGCTCCGCACCACAAAGTTACGGTCAATCATACCTGTGACATATTTTCAGTGTTACAAATTGCGCTATTATTATCAAACCGTGTGTTCGTGATAATCTATTATTTTCAATTCGTGTGTATGATTTGGTCTGTCCGCTTTCAAGAACTGCTCTGAGCGGGTCTCGTACCGTTACCTTTAAACTATTATCCAGGCTTGTATCTTCCGTTTGTTTTGCTCATTTTTATCTTGAGCCCCACTTTCCAGCCTTTTTTATCAAGTTTTTCATTTCCTGGAGTTCATTTCCATTGCATGTTACAATCACTCCGTCATCAGCAAATTTCAAGTTTTTCAAGTATATTTTCTATAAAATGTCCCATAATGTTTCTGGGAATAACGTTATTGAGTGCGTGCCTCTTAGTCCGGCATTTTTTCTATACTTACCTTGTGCAATCTCAGTGTTGCCATTGAAATGTTTCTCGTTATTATTTCGAAAAATATATGTTTTAAGCCTGGGTTTATAAGGGCTTCGATGACTGCATCATTTCCCACTGAGTCACCATGCCTCTGAAGACATGGCGTGCCGTTATCAACACGACAAAGGACGGAGGCCGAAGAGAACAGGTTGGATGGAGCGCTTTGCAAAAAAACAGAACTTAGTAATCAAATGCAACACAAAAACGTGCCTGCAAAACAAAGTTGTCAATCAGTGTCTGTTACCCGCTGTGACGCATGAATAAAAAATACGGACATTGACAAAGCAAAAGGAACAACAGCTGATAAGTACATGAAGAAAGGATGCAAAGGGGCATGCTTAGAATTCCAACTGAGAGACAGAAAGAGAAACACGTGGATTGGAGGACATAGACAAGCTAGAGGCATCGCGTTGACTGCTGTGAAATTAAGTGTGCCTGGGCAGGGCACGTTGCTACTACGGAGACGGAGCGATGAATTGAACTCCTGTGCGGGCGCTAGATTGATTGTTACATTGCAAGTCCGTGAGAGATGGCAGCCGCTTGGAGAGGCTTTCATTCAACAGTGTATAGATCATGACGTCAACAGTGTATAGATCATGACGTCAACAGTGTATAGATCATGACGTCAACAGTGTATAGATCATGACGTCAACTCAAACTATCACTGTCCTGATCACAAAAGCAAAGATTGTGGGGAATAATAGACATTTTCTATACTTTCTGGTATAAGCGATTACGAAATAACACTTACGCCCCAGGAACAAAATTTGTGTTGCAATAGTGTTATGTTTCAACTAAATAAAAATAAATAAATCAAACTCGGGTTGGATTGTTTAATTTGTGGTTACACTCCTGTGGACAAAAGGCCCCATTGTTGTATTCGTCTTCAGTTGAATAAATTGTTATCTTTCTATTCAAATGTTAATCAATATATAAAGTATTGCATGAATCATCTCGGTTACAGTTCACAAAGTAAACTCCTATGTTGATTCACAGATGAGCAATTGAAACCCGCAAATGCAATTTTGATAGACGTTTTACATTATAATATATACATGCACATTATTTACAATCGCGCTCGTTTTGCACGTTTTGAATTTGTGTGTGGATGTTGGCATTCTTAGTCAAATGCAAAACAAAAATAAGCACGCCACTTTTAGGAATGGTATGTTGGCCCCCCATACACACGTATATAAAGACACACAGACATACATATACTCATTATGTATTTGAAATGCATATATCGCCTGGCAAAGCATGGCCCTGGGAGTCCAGTGGTGACCTCAAATGACTGAAAAGGGCCTTGTATTTCTGGAATGTATAAAAAATGAGTTGTACTCGGTAAATAATATATTTTGTGAGAGCAGAGGTTTCTTAAAGTGTAGCTCCATGCTGTATTTTAATGATTTGTGTTTACTGTGGGGGGGGAGTGGTGGTGCAGTGGTTACCGTACTACGTGAGGAATACTAGCGACCTGATTTCAGCTCTTGGCCATGACAGCCAGTTAACTTCTAACCGCTTCCCCCCTCCACTCCTCCAACAACCCGCCATAACCAGTGTGGTGAAGTATGGTCAAACTACTCCCAATGACCCACATGGCAGGGAGGAGACACTCACCCAGCAATGGAGGCGACAGTGGGCTGTAATTTATCAACGCTAATGATTACGTTTCTACTTCTTTCAGATTCTTACAAAGCTCGTCAAAGGAATTTCGAAGCCTGTGACGTGCAAGATAAGAATCCTGCCTTCGGTAAGTCTGCCAGACATCCCCAGAAGATTACCACGTTGGAGAAAATGTCACTTGTATGTCAAGAGTGATTAAAAGTAAGGCAAAGGCGCAGCCCTGCAATTGCCTGCTCACGCCAATGCTGGCAGAAGGGCCTCCACTCCACGGAGCTCTAAGAGAGCCCCTCCACAGGGTATTTGGCCTACTTTTCCACACTGGCCAGAGTGGGTATACCCACGCTCTACCCCACCACACTTCACCCGATTTGAGAGCCGGTGACCTCTGGCTTGGAGATCCGTTGCGCTAACCATCACACCGATAGCGGCATCTCCCACGCCACGGACAATTAAACGGGCAGATTGGCCCGGCGATTAAAACAACGGCAGTCACACAGCGCGATTATCAGTCACGCAGGGAAATTATCAATCATCTTTGCGCCGTGTTAAATGGGGACTTGTTACGATTTCGCATTTTTTGCAATCCAGTAAAAAAAAAAACACGACGGCAAAAGTGATGTTGGTCGCCGGGAGACAAATGTGAAGTGGGACGGTTGTATCAAGCCACAGTGCGTTTTGTACCATCAACAAACTCATGAAAAAACACACAATTGGAATGATTGCACTTTGTAAAATAATGAAAAGGACAAAGCATTATCATTTGCTCATTGATGGGCCCTTGCCCACGAGTTTTAGCCGTCATTGAAAATGTACAAAACCGTGGCGTGGTTTTGAAAACGGATGAAAGTCGGCATGCAATTTTGACGTGATTTTCTTTTTATTTTCCCCGGATAAATCAACAGAATTCATTGACATTGTATTGTTAGTATTTATGAAAATTGCACCGTATTGCAATTCAAGACGTAACCTTTTTTTCTGGTAGAGTGTAATGCGCTGAACAGGCAACGAAATAATAAATGCGGCACGCTCAATCGATGGCGGCGAGAGGTTCGTCATAATTGCTTCGGCTCGCCTCCGTGATGGGAGTTGGTCAAGAAAAGAAACCCCATTAAATGCCTTCACTGATTTGCATTCAAAATCTTGCGTGTTATATCATCGTCGTCGTCGTCGTCGTAGTCAGCCATGTTCTATCTTTACCCACCACTGGACAAAGGCATTGCCAAGCTGCCGTATTCCCCATACGATTCACATGCTGCTCTGTTAATATTCAGCATTGATTCATGAACAAGGCACCGTTACTCCTCACAGTTTAAAAAAAATCTGACAATTTGTTGGTAACACGTTAGGTGGGGGGTTCGTGAGACGATTTCACGTCAATAACGGCGGTGGTCAACGCCGGGTTAACCAAAGCAGTGCCGCGCTACTGTGCGTGTGCGCTGCTAATTATAAACGCTCCGCGCTTGTCTTTTATGCGCAATTTGGCGAACCCGTTCCTCATCCGCTTGTGTTTTTGGCAGTGTCCATACAAAAAATTCCCGACAGCCGTCCTGCATCTTGCCGTGCGCTTGCCATAGATCTGTTTTCTCACGGATGCTTCGGGACGATGCCGAGTGGTTGCGCTAGTGGAAGCATGTACATCTCGTACCACTGTATACTGGCCCCACTTGTTCTCTACAATCAACTTTGAATTCCCTAAACTCACTGGTGAGTATCTCTGTAATGTGCACATCGGTGACTAAAGGCATTGAGAACGTCGGGTAACATTTTTATCCTAAAAGTATTGCTTTTTAAACAAAGTGAATCACAGGCCTACGGATCACAATTCCAATTCAGAGCAACCCTAAAAAATAATCCCTTGTTTTCTCTCACTCAAGTAATGTAATCTAACACCTTGGATGCATTGTTGCATTGCCGGCACGTCGTCAAATGTCTTGGATTACGGTTGTAGTCCAAAAGTTAAGCCCTTATAAATACCCATAGTATTAACCGTGCCGAACGCACGTGTGTGCAGTGTGTCACGCTCGGTGCGTGACGGATGCCGGAGAGAATGTCGTCTTCCTCAAATGCCACCGTGATGCCCTCTCCAAGCCTTTGGCCACAGCTCACTTTCTTCTCACAATGCAACAACACGCACGGCTCCAACAAACCACAAGCTGATATATTAATTTCATCATCCAAAGTGGTTGTCAGTGGCAATGTTTTTTTTTGCCAGTGTATGTCACTTTAGCCGGTGATCTACACTGTTTGAAAACATTCTCATTTGGTGCACATTGGTGTGTTACTTTTTATTGTGAAGGTCAGATTTCCAAATGCATGGTATCTTATCTTAACGGGACTTATATGGCGCCTTACTTAACCCTGGCGCTTTACGAAGAATTAAGAACAGCACAACGTGTGAATGTAACGGTGGAGATGCGGTGAATAAAATAGACGAGAGGAAGCGATGGCGGGCGAATCTGTGATGCGTGGATTCGGTGAAAGCGAAATTGAGGACAGCAGATTACGATGATGAATGGATTGAATGAATGGGGAATGAGTGATAGCCATAGAATGAGAACATGAAGAGGTGGTGGTTATACTGGGGGAGATTCAGGGGTCGTGGAGTGATCTGGGGAACAGTTAAGTGAGATTTGAGTGAGGAGCAGGTGACTGCTTAGTGTGGAGGGGAATAATAAAATAATAAAAATAAAACATAATAAAATAATTCTCACGACGTTTCGGAGGCAACACAAGCTTCCGTCTTCAGGTGGAACCGTCACAGCACGATAGCTGTATCAAGTAACGTGACTTTACCAAAAGAACCAAGAAGATGAATCCCTGCAGTCACGAAAGCTTTAAATCGAAATGTGGAGGGGAAGTTCGTTCCAAGGAAGGGGGGGTGGGGCAAGAAGAGGAAAATATAAGAACGCGTTTCTTTTGAACTCTGTATCCCATCTTTTGAAAAGGGTTGAGGCTCAACCCCAGCCATCGCTGATGCTTATGCATCTCAGGCTTTCATACTTGAATTCCCTTGCGTCATCTTCTAGAGAGGTTGGGGCCGAATGAGGTCTCTCCACCTGTCCCTGTTCTCGGACCAGCACCACTGCTTCCTTGACTCGTCAACCTTTCTGGTCAAGATTATTCCTCACCGAGTCAATCTAGCCCACCTGTAATTATCGTGTGTGTATGTTAATGTGTGTGTGTATGTTAATGTGTGTGTGTGTTTGTATTGTGGGGAGCGGTAGTGTAGTGGTTAGCACGCTGCGCTATGAACCCAGTAACCCGGGTTCGATTCCCGCTCACGGCCAACACCACTGACGATTATCTGAACCGGTTATGGGCCTCCCCTAGGTCGACTCAGCCTAAAATGTGTACCTGGTGTGTAAACATCGCCACTGGGGAGACAAAGGCGGCTGGGCGTGGTGCTGGCCACCCACCCCCTTCGTGTACCGTTCCGGCCTTCATAGGTGCTCGCTTAACAGCACTTGCCCCTACAGTCTGTTAAGGCTATACAGGGGATCTTTGTGTTTATGTGTGTTTTGTGTTGATGTTTATGTGTGTGTGTTTGTGTGTGTTTTGTGTTGATGTTTATGTGTGTGTGTTTGTGTGTGTTTTGTGTTGATGTTTACGTGTGTGTGTTTGTGTGTGTTTTGTGTTGATGTTTATGTGTGTGTGTTTGTGTGTGTAGCACCTCGTTTGGGATTCTCTCCGGATCCATTCTCTACCATGTGTCCCAACCACTGTAATCGTCACTCGTGAATCTTCTCTCTCAGCGTGAACCCTTTTTCTTAGTCGTTCATTTCTTACCATCTCTAGCCGAGATCTAGTCGAGACACTCTCAATAATTCTTCTCAGCCAACCTTCTGTGCGGTCGCAATTTGTCTTCGTTCGATATCCCCTTTGCTCAGCGCTCGGAGCCATACATCAGTCTTGGCACAGCCGCCGTTGTTCCATACACTTGGTCTTTCAGATGTCGTGGAACGGTTAACGCCGCTGTTGTGCAAGTTTGCAGGGCACCAATTACCACGCGCAGTTACCACGCACCCCTTGAGTTACCAGCTGCTCGTCTAACATGGCATTGACTTGTCTCTTAGATTCACCGTCTTAATTACTCTGCCCAGAGCATGTCAGAGACACGGTGGGGAACGTTGAATGTGCACGCGGTCACGCTGCCTTCCTACGATGACAGCTCATTAAAGAAAAGTAAAGTTTATTTTTAAACTGGAGCCTCCTTCATATTACTTTGCAATTAATAGTAACTGCTATTGTGTCTTCAACCATTGGAAAAGGGTAAATTAAATTAGTGACAGGTGGAATAAAGGAAAAATCCCCCCCCCTCCCCCACACTTGTGAAAAGTTTGAATCTTTAGCACATTTAGCGGTTACTGAAGCAAACAAAGGTAAAGGTGCAGCCCGGAAATTGCTCCCTGACGCCGCTGCTGGCTGAGGGACCTCCATGAGAGAGAGCTCTCATCTCTTTTTTTTTACGATCAGTGGAAACATGAAGATGCTCGGTGTATTCGGCACTTTGCTTCGTTCATCATTTCGTATTTTTTTTATTTAAATTTTTAAAACTTGGCTTTATGTAAACCCCCCTCCCCCCCCCTCTAGCTCACTCTCTCGCTCTCTCGCTCGCTCTCTCGTTCATCTCACTTTACCCCACCGCACGCGGGCTTGCCGATCCACTCGCTGTGCTGGGCCCATGCCACGCCGCGGGTTGGATCGGGGCAGGAGGGGAGATTTAAAGAAACTCCTTTCAACTGCCGCGCCGGCAGATCGTCTACGGTTGACCTCTGTATTGCAGGCCCGGCGTGCTCTCGCCGTCGCATCACGGCAGCGCCCCCGAGTGGTTACTTTCCGTGAGGAGATAAAGGCCAGTTTAACCCGTGGCAAGGCTTTCGCGACCAATCTCATCCATAACACAGCGGTTTTTTTGTGTGGGTTAGATCGTGTAAATATAAATGTGTCGTGAAACCCGCCACCACCCAACACGGCCAATTAGTAAGGTTTGTCACGTAAATGGAGCATGCCGATTCGTGACTAGTACAGCACTAACCGGTGTGTCGGAGAGCAAATCCACAACGTTTACAATCTGAGTGCGACGTTTGAGCAGTACAGCCAGCAACAGTGTGCATTGTATCCAGGGCGTGGCAGTGTTGAGTGCTACCCTTGACATGCAATGGGTACTCTCATTGTACTCCGGTTTTTTCCCACAAGAAGCCAAACTCATTCATATGATATTGGCCAAACATCTCAATGCTGGACTCTGGGGCTCTTTGAGGCTATGCTGCGTAAATAATTATTGTTGTGAATCATCCAGAGCTGTGACAAGTCATGCCGGATTTGTAATATCATTTGCGAGCCTCTTGAAAAAACAAACACCAATGTATCACCTTCAGGTTTTTTTTCTGGTATTATATTTGTGTCAACGCAAAGCTGCGATTTGACGTTTCTCTTCATTTTCGATATATCACGCGAATATCCTCACAATGGCATTTGACAAAACCTTTTTCGTAACCTCAGCAGTATTACCGCATTCATATTTATCTCAATCGTGGTGTGTTAGTCCTTATCTTATTGTCGATTAAAATGTATTCTTCAACTGTTGACGTGTACATAAAAGCGCGCACGTTAGAATTAATCTCTTTCATTTTGTATGTGATTTGTTCACGTCACTTTTGCAGCCACTCGAGGCACGAGCATCCCACGATTTTATTCAAAATCAAATCACGGACCTTGAAATTGGACAAACCGTCACGTCGTTACCGATGTGCGAGCCCGCCGTATTCTGTTCAAGATTACGTTACAAACGCACAAATGCTGCACCTCGAGAATAACAAGTTAAACCCTAAACCCATCTCCAGAACAGCACTGACTTTTGAGGGTAATTGGTGGTTGCCAAGCTGCAGTGGCTGCGATGTGTGCTTGTGGTTGCGGCTCTGCCTCCGAACGCCCGGGCTCAATCGCCCAAGTGGGTTGGGGAAATCACTTTTGGCGAGTAAGGCACCGAGTCTGCAATGAGTGAACACACGGCGCCTGAATCTGTCGTGACAGGGCAGGCCAGCCAAGGAACAATCCTTTATCTCGGTGAAGGCTGTAGCCTCTTTTGTGTGCACACATCTGTCGCTAAGTACACTCGGCTTTCAAAAGCAATGCAAGTTTTGCTCTCTTTGCGCACGTGTGTGTGTTTGTGCTTTGTTGTGTAGCCTGGCACAAGCGTCGTGGTGACGTCACCACTACTTAGTGGCGAATGGCGGTTGTTGTTGTTGTTGTTTTGGAGCGGGCAGCTGTGTCGTGGCTAGTGCACTACAATAAAAAAAACACCCCATCAGCCTCAGTTTAATTCCTGGACACGGCATTCAGCAGTTGGCGATTATCTGAACTGGTCCTGGGCTTCAACTCTAGGTCCTGGTGCGACGTTAGTTAGTTTATTTCTTTTTGGAGCCAGCTGGCCAGGATTGGGCAAAATCTAGCCCACTTTTCACCCAAGGTGAGTGGGAAGCACAGACTTAGTGTTTCTAAAATAAAATTACTATTTAATAAAAATCACAATAAGAGAAAAACAACGTATGTACAGGTATACTCCGGTTTACGCCCAGGATTCATTCCTGAAAAGCAAAACGTAAATCGAAAGTACGGTACTTAAGTCGAAGCATTTTTTCGCTAATCATCGCTGTGAAAAATAAGTGTATGGTTTTGATATATTTAGATATATTACCTCGTCTATTCCACTGTATGTATTATTAGTTGTTTATCATGTCAAAAATGTTTTTAACCTGTTTAAAAATAGTCGCCATAAATACGGTATGTGGGGAACAAAATTTGAAAAGAGTACACATCAAAGAGACTCCGAGCCATTCAGGGACGCTTGGACGTCATCTGGTGCCTCAATGTTCGCCGTGCAACGTAAAAAAAACTTGAGCAGAATGGTGAAGTTCGTAAATCCCAAGTAAGTTATAGCGAGGTACGCAGTACGTGAATCGGGATGGAGTATACGTATCAACAAGTTGAGTACGTTGTAGCGAAAAGTACGTAAAGCGGGAGGGCGCAAATCGGCATGTTACCGTACTATTACAAAGTAAGATTTAAATAACATTTCTTTAAAACTTAAAATCTATGTCCACATCGCCATCCACTAGAGAGATGTTGTTTCTTATCTCTACATTTTTTTATATTTTTTGTATTTTGACAAGAGCCCGGTAAAGAGCACTAACGATTAACAAAGAGAAAAGTGGGGATGCAGAAATTCTGCGGACAAAAACCCCCGAGGAGCGGTGGCAGGGGAAAGGAGGGCTCGCTACCCTACGCACGTTGGTACGACGGTCGTGAGCGTGGAAGTTTTTTATTTTATTGTTTCTCATCTTTAGCAATTCCCACCGGGGCCATAGAACGGGGTGTCGAACAAGAGTTTACGGAGCGGCCTAATGGTGCCCACACCCTGCCGACCTCACTTCCTGCTATCAGTCAGCCTCACTTTTCATTCTGCACCCGGAGGAATTGAAGACAGATTTAAGCCATCCTTGCTTAAAACAGCAGAGATTCAATAATCCGTGTTGATATGGGGGGGGGGGGGGGGGGGCCTCCGCGGAGGTTAGACCAAATAATCCGTAAAAATATGTTGTGGATTTACTCTCCAACACACCGGTGTGCTGTACTAGTCTTTTCTTTTTGTTTTCGCGACTCCTTTGCCTTTTGTTGCATCTGCAGCTTCGCTCTCGTGTGCGATTTAAAACGCCGACGTTCCACCTGCACACCTCTGCAATTTCGCTAGCCGCCAAAGAGTTAACGACTGCGTCGTTTGCGTTTGTCCGCGATCTGCGCTCGTCCCGCGTGTCGACTGCAGTTGGAAGCCACGCTCAGCCTCGTGCGGCGGATCGAGAAGACCGGCGTGTCCGCCATCGCCGTGCACGGCAGGTACGGCAGAAAGGGGCCCTGGCGCCGCCCAAGGGTGGTGGTGGTGGTGGTGGCGGTGGTGGTGGTGGCTGTTTCTGTTCCGTCCCTTCCACCGACCGCCCCACCCATGGTGTCCCAGTAAACGGAAGTCGGCGAGGATACTGACAGATGGGAAAATGTCAAAACGCTCTTGGGACTATTGTTAAGCGCTACTTTTCTTGTGTCAATTACACTGGTCAACAAATTTTTTTTTTCTCGCCTGGACTTTTGCAGCTGTTTTAGACTAATTTCAGGGTGCTGATTCCAAATCTGATCTCAGATTTTCTCTATCACATCTCATTTTTATGCTATCGGCATACCCCATTTTCATTGATTTTACCCGAAATTAACTCTGTCACCTATGATTGCAAGTTGTTGCGAGTCAGTGACTGCTTTAGTGTTAAAATATGGTGCTGTATTTTTAGGATAGTGTGTTTTCCACATTTATTTTATATTTTTCTTCTGCAGTTTTTATTGAAAATGCAATATTTGATATCTCAAAAACCTGATATGATAGACAAAAACTGATGCCAGATTTGAAATCAGCACCCCAAAATTACCTTCAAACCGTTGGAATACCTTATGCCAGAAAAAGTGTGTTGACCAGTGTTATCAATGGTTTTTCGCAAGTGACGTTCGTCTCCGTGGCGATGAATGTTACGAGGACCATCGAGCGTGAACCTCTGGTTCACAGTTTGGAAATGAGCACAGGAAGTGAATAGAGGGAAGTAGCGGCCGGGACAAAAAAAACACTGCTTTTTCTGGCCTGTGCATGCTCACGGGTTAATGCGCCCAGTAATCATCGGGGTGAATGCTCATTGCGCATTTCCTCAGGACCAAGGATGAGCGTCCACGGCACGCGGTGCGCTGCGACGTGATCAAGGCCGTCAGCGAAGCAGTCTCCATCCCCGTTATCGCCAAGTGAGTGCCGCGATTCCCAAGCGCCAGACAAGAATGACACCTGCCGGCCTCGTGAAATATGAGTACGCCTCATCGGGGGTCTTGATTTCGGCGACGGGATGTTTTTCGCCGGTTGCTGGAAGCCCCAGCGAGAGGTGGCAGCCTGCATTGTGGCATCTCGGTCGGGTTGCGGAAATATTCTCCGGTTCGCTGACCCGGACGGGCCCCATTGAAATGAAGCACGGGATACACGTCCACATCTGTTTAATATGTAGGCCTTCGCTATACTGTTGGGTTGGATCGCGTGAAGATTTGCACGGTCTAACCCAATAAACATCTTTTATGGGCGTCCACATCTGTGGGTCTGCTGCGGTGCCGTGCGGTCGCCCGATAAGGAAGTTCACACAGTTGTCAAATCTGCCCTGTCAAACAGTTTGCAAGTAACTAGTTATTTTATTTTGTCCGCTGGATGCCCCCCTCTCCCCAACTTAGTTATTACAGTTGTGTGTGCTAATTAGGTGCATAAATTTACATCGAATATCTCGTAGACCGCAGCGCACCAACCCTGTAGCAAAGAGTGGCTCAAAGAGATGACATCACAAAACTTGTTTTAAAATTACTGCGGCAAACCTCTTTGGCCACACTTGCGGCACACTTTTGATATTCCTCGTATAAAGAGTGTGCCATGCATTCCAATAAATTTTCTAATATTTAAGCCTCGGAGGCGGGATATGTCAAATTGTTGGAAAACAACCGTGATTAATTTGAAATACTTTTTTGTGGCATGTGCATAGGTGACCAAGTACAAGTATCTGCCCAAATTGAAACCCGCAGTCTCAGCAGTTGCTGGCTCAAGTGCTCCGATTCGCACGGCCACCTGATCATCTATGACATTTAAGGAATCTGCACACGTGCGTGCGTTTCTAACCACTCGATGTGACCCTCGGGTAGTAACAAACGGATGGAGGAAATGTTTAAAGAACATTTTTTAAACATGAATATTGAAACTAAGGAGAGAGAACATGGATTTTGGCTGGGCAGTTTATTAAATGATTGATGTGCGTGCCAGGAAAAGAAGTTGCTTCTGAGGTCGAAACTTTCCAGTTGATTTGCGATCACTCAGCTCAGAGAGAGTGGATCCAGCGGCCGCTGATTAAAGCGGACTTGTGCAAAGGGTAATTGACTCGAGACTCTGGATTGGCACACTCGTCTTGTGTCTCTCTACACCGGTGGAGATGTGTTCGGCTAATGGTCAACTGAAAGGAAACATTTGCATTTCTCTCAATAGCACTTTCTCGCAGCGTCGTTGTCATCGCCCGTAGCCATTCTCCGTGCACCGCTGGATGAAGACCTTCCTACACTGTCGCCATCTATCATAGTAGCGACAATGTCAAAATTCATGTCGCGGTGTCACGGTCCATGCTTGTATGGCTGGCTGGTTGGCTTCTAGAATGTCCATTATTCAACTCCCTGTGATTTATGTGAACAATTTTACATGTCGGTGATGAGAACCGTAAGGGCCTAAAGTTCTTAAAATTAGTGTTGTCCCCTTCTTGGCACTGCCTCAACGCTCATTTGAGAGGTAACAATTTTACGTAGTTGAGTCTACTGGCAGCAGCCGTGTGATATTACTCTTCTTGCAGCAGCTGTGTGGAGCCTCGGTACTGATGAAGTTATCTTATTTTACCTTTTCTTCCGGTTTCGTCATCGGAACGGGAAAGGGTTCATGCTATTGACCGACCATCCCAATGCTGGACTTTATGTAAACATAGTCTTGAAACTTGTTCAGGATATTCCTGGGTAAATAATTGTTTTCCTAGTAAACATCCCATAGCTGCGGAAGCTTAGCCTGCCTATCGGCTGACAGGAGAAAAGTGGCCTCTATAAAATGGTATGAAGAAAATAAAAGTAAAACGATCGAAAAACAGTATCAAATATTAATCGACGTGTACATTTTTTTGCACGTACATTTCATTACCCTTGTGTATATTTAAGATGCTTTTCTGGAAACGAGCTTTTGTGGCACGATGTCCGTTGGGTATTCTGATGAGCCGCTCGGAGTGGGCTTTCCGGCCTGCTGTGAATTTACATTGCATTGAAGAGCTGCGCATAATTGAATCTGCCATCGCTGCGGAGATGGTGCTGCTGGTGTTGTATCAAGGCGGCAGTCCACTTTCCATCCTGTCGTATTTTTTTCACAGGAACGCGCATTTGGCAGTTCTGTTGGGAATATCGCAGATCTCTCATTTTAGTATCTTGACATGACTGCAAAGACAAATAATTTTCCCCCGCGTAGCCTTCGCAGACTGTTAGGGCAAGTGCTGCTAGCGAGCACCTACGAAGGCCATGGCGGCAGACGAAGGGGTGGGTGGCCAGCATCATGCTTGGCTGCCTCTGTCTCCTCAGTGGTGATGTTTGCACATCGAACAATTTAAGGATGAGTCGACTTAGAGGATGCCCAGGACCGGTTCAGTTAAATGTCACTGTTGTTGGCCGTGAACGGGAAACGAACTCGGGTCACCGGGTTCGTTAACACAGCATGTTCACCGCTACACAGCCACACCCCCACAAACACGCGCACACACTCACCGCTTTGGGTCCTTAACCATAACAGCTGCACCTCGTGGTCATTTCATAGGGCACTTCGATGCCAGAGGTGAGCATCCTCTCAGATGGATTGCGTCTGTGGGGGCTGCCACTCTGCCACTATTCTTCACCATTGGCCATTGTCCCTTCTCGTGACTTCTTCAGCCCAAGCCCACTCACTCCTTCCGTTAACTCTTCGAATGACGTCTTTAACCTGCGTCCATAATCCGGTACTTTTGAGGGGAGGGGATTGGTGGATCGCACTGCGATCGTGTGTACGATACACGTGCGGAGGCCAACGGAGTGCCTCCGGCAGCTCGTACGGCAAGTGGTTTGTGTTCGTGAAGCCTGTGCGCATTTCCATTTTCACGACAATGCAAAGGTTGCAGCCCAATGCTGATCCACTGCTGGATGAAGGCCTCCCCCACACAGTGCAACCGTGGGCATTGTTTGACCGTACTTCTCCGGGCCGGTCAGTATGGATGTTGGGAGGGATTTCTCAGAACTACTTCAGATGTCGCCACTGATGTTGTCCATGGCCAGGAATCAAACTCAGGTGGCAGGATTCATGCCTGCACCTCGTGACAAGACAGTTTAGTAAATGCTAATATTTACAGCCTAATTCATTCATCTGTATAAGTAATTAATCAACTATCAATATACATTAAATAGTATTTAATGGGTCCTCTCATACATTATTCATAAGACTGCATGAATAAACATATGAAGTACATTTGTGTTTTTTAATGTGGTTGCGTTATCGCTTTACGCACACAAAGACAGGGTTATTGATTTCACCTAGCGTACGTTCTGAAATAACTGATGCTTTCATTTGCGGAATAATAATAATCGTCGTCATCAGCAGCCGTGATCAATCCACTGCTGGATGAAGGCCTCCCCAAGCCGTCGCCACCTCTTGCGATCCTACGATGCAGCATTCCATCCGACAGCTGCACATGAACCGACCTCATCGCTCCATCTCCACCTCGGATATCCTCTCCGACACGTTCCATCCCCTCGATGCCACTCCGTCGTCATTACTCTTTAATAATCAGGACACATAAGGTTATTATATTTATTTGAACAAATCACAAAGGGATATTTAATTTGCTTTAACAAACGTTTAAACGGACTTCCATGAACATTAATGCACACATGCACGCATTGATTTTCTTTTGAAATTAATTTGGAACTTTTTTTCAAGATGACAGCAGCCTTTTCTTACGTGAAGATGAATTTAACTCGTTCGTCTTCAGATAAATTGTAAATGTCGTCTGAAAAGGAAGAAGACAAAAAATATATATTAATAACGATAATAGATTAAATGATAACTGAAAGAATTAGCAATAAAAAAGTGTTGATTTCAATGTTAAAGTAAATTAATTTTGGGCCACCCTGGACAATGCACTTGTCAATTGGAACTTGCGGTGGGGCGGTTGCCAAAATGTTGAACTTTGCAAACACCGATGGGCGGTTTTCTATATTTCATCCTTGAAAAATCCGACCTTTGTTGGGTCCAATTTTTATTTGTTTACGCGAGCATCCAATCTTGGGGCTGCATCTCTTTAATGTCGACCATCGACGCTCCCGTGGGCCGCAAGGGATCCAATAAAAAGAGCGACCCTCTTTGTAGCCCAACCAGATTTTCTCTTTGCCAAAAAAATGGGAGTGCGAGTTTTGCCTTTCTGTTGGGGGTAAATTTTTTCTCAAATTTTTTCTCAAATTTTTTGGACATTTTCTTTCACCTGCGATTCCGCGTTGTCCACAAACAGATCTGCACCGCTGACTCGGGGGGCTGTGAACATGAAATGAGCATCGCAGCCCTGCTCATTTGTGCATGAAATCACTTTGAGGCCGTTTATTTTACACAATTACGGATAATGGAGAAAACTTATTTGAAGGTCCCGTATATAAAAGGGAGAGAGAAAAAAACTGCGCCCTGTTCGCTGATCCATGGCTAAAGCACAATGTGGTTATTAATAAGAGTCAGGGGTTTACGTTATGTGGACAAAACAACGATGAGCCCTCAGCTTCTGGCCATGTGACATGGTGTTCTCAGCAACATTTGTTTAATTTCTTTCGCACCGTACATTGCCAACAGCGCTAATCGTTTGTGCGTTCTGTAGGCACTGACATCCGTCGCTCGGCAGAAACAGCATTCATGCGATTCGACTGCAGTCCTCCGATGAATTTGAAATAACTATTTTGCTGAAATATTGTTTTTCGTTCTGTTTCGCGTGAAGATGTAATGTAACCTTTTCGCAATATTCACTTAAAGGCTCTTTGCCAATCCATGGCTCGATGGAGGCCTGCCCCACGCGCTTGTCGGGCATTCGCGGTGATTTGACCGTACTTCACCACGCTGGTCAATGTCAGTTGGTGAAGTGGAGCGGGGGCAGGAGGGGGGGGGGGAGAAGGACCAGACCGGATATCAG